CGTGTGACTTAAATTGAATACCATTACAACGAATATACATGAATCATAACACAAACATCACCATGCATCAATACATTACAACTGATATTGTTTTACATCCAGTACATTGTTTTCAAATATTACACATCATAACACAAAGTGTTTCAAAGTTTCCAACACAAAATAATCTAACATACTTAGTATTACCCTTCCGCTTATCTGTTCCTTGAGAATACAAGTTATTTTGGAAAAACGTCAACATATGGAATGTTGGTGAGTTCATAAGCATAGTTGTAAATAAAATGATTTGTATAGTTTATAAAACCCAGAAAATCCGATATTTTCTGAAAAGACATTTGTTTATCAAAGTGTGAAGATCCATAGTTGATGCATGAATGATTTCAAAACACACACATATATATATTATATATATATATATATATATATATATATATATGAAAGGTGTTTTGTATTTTTTGTTATAGAATTTTCGAGCGAGTAGTATTGATTTCCCCGGAAAACCCGACGTTTTCCGATGTCGAAAGATGTACGTAGTTACTAGTTCTTGTATCGTCATATCGAATGAATATCGTCCTAATTTCGTCTACTTTGAATACTCATAAGCCTTAGCGAACAAAGAGAAGAGGAACACTATGTCCTGCTACTATCGTAAGTACCTTAGGCTGTCGTGGATGCGAAAGACACGATGGTCCAACTCGCATTTGATTACTGTGACCTTACTAGCTTTTCTAATGGGACACTTTGGCCCACTAGCACATAAAAGCTATTGAAAGTCCTTTTATAAAATATTGGGTCATTGAAGGCCCAATAACATATAAGCGTTATCCCTTTGGGCCCAAAGATCATACTGATGGGCTTGCAAGGCCCAACATGCATGATTTGAAACTCATAAGCCCAAAGTTTGTAAGTTTACTCATCGTAGGTATCGCGTATCGTTGGAGTGTTTGATTTAAACGTTAGTTGTATTGTATCGATTCGAGACCGAATCGATTCGTGTATCACGATATTTGGAGTCAAACGTGTATTCGTCTTTCGAATTGTCGGTAGTCGTAGTTTTGTAATTTGACTTAATGAAATAGTTGGTCTAAATAGAAGTTTGACCTTTTCATTTCCTTTCTTTTATAAAAATAACAATTTAAGTCCTTTAAATAAAAGAACTTCATTTTTAGTCCTTAAAACAATTTCTTGACACTTTTTGCATCATAAAAATGTTGAAATGATAGTTTTAATCCAAAATTTATTTTGTTAACAGATTCAGCCCTTTCAAAATAGTATTTCTCGGTTAAAACCCCATTTTTCGCAACTTTTACAGTTTTGGCCCAAAATCCAAAAACTTTACATTTTTGATCCTTTTTGGAATTGAAAAGTATTTTTGACCTTTGAAATAGTTTTATTACACTTTTTGTCCCCTGTTTTGCAGAAAGTTTCATTTCAGCCCCTTTAAAACATCATTTTCGCAATTATGGGCTTATTGGGCCAAAAAGCCCAAATTTAGCCCATTAAGCTAAAAATTTGCATTTCAAGTCCTTTGAAAATTCAAATATTCAGAAAAATGATTATAGAAACTGTTTTGACCCTCAAGAAGCCGTGACTTGACCATGTTTGACTCTAGTTTTGCATATTTGACATTTTAAGCCCAAAATGGGTTTTTATGTTGAAATATGTTCATAAAAATCTTATAAGTTATTATTCTTGACTTGTTTAGTGTAGAATAACTTAGATTATGTTTGTTTCCCTTCTCATGTCCTAGATCTCGAGTTACACTCCTTTTTGGTTGCATATTCATCACAAAAACACATAAAATCACACACATACATGCATAAAATCACATATAGCATACACAAACACATAGATCTACGCATTTTCTTGTATTCTCCCCCATAAAACATATGAAAACCGAAAAGAGAGGGGTATGAAACTCACCTTGAGTTGTGTTTTTGGTTTTTGAAGGAAGAGATGAAGAAATTTCGATCCTAGTAAGTCTCCTTGGAAGATCTCGAAGTTAGAGGCTTCTAAGGTGCAAGATCACAAGTTTGAATCGATTTAGAAGAGATTTTTGATGAAATGAAGTAGCTAGATCATGGATTTAACATCAACTTACCTTAGATGATGTGTTTTGTGGAAAATCTCCTTGAAAGCTTCCTAATTCTCGAAAACTTGGTGAAGAGTGAGAGAGTTCCTGAGAGAGTTTGAGTGATTTTTGTGTGTGTGTTTGTGGTGTGTTCGACCGAGAGAAGAAAAGAGAGGAGAGAAGAGACCTTGGATGGGATAGTTGCATGGAAATATGGGAGTATGCATGGATATCCAATAGATAATGGTGAGGTGGCTACCAAAAGTCAACTCTTCCTTTCTTTTGTGGGCTTGGGCCGAGAATGAAGAGGGGAAGAGAAAAAAAAAATTTGGGCCTTGTATGCTTAAGCCCATATCATGACTTATTAGATGATTTTTGGTCCAAAATAAATCAAGGTATAATTTTTATGATTCATTAGGGCTAAATTAAATTGGTTGTGACCCACTAAGGCCCATTAAAGTTAACCTAATTTATTTTGGGTTCATAAGGCCCAAAAAACATTAAGTTTCATGTATATAGGTCCAATTAGGGCCCATTTGAGAGTTCTAGGTTCAAAATAGATAAATTGGAAGCTCATTGGTCCATTAGGCCCAATAAGGGAATCCTAATCCAAAATAGACTTAAACCGGAATTTCACAGGTTTCCAATCCTTTGTTGACCATTTGTAGTGCTAGAATGAAGTATTTGATGAAGTTTTGTTGCTATAGAATAAGCATCATGCATGCTTTCATGTTATTGATTCATAGTTGTTATAAGTGTTGTAGTTACAAGGCACCAAGATTCCTAGTTGTGACACGACATCACACACTTGAAATAGGAATTTTGAATTATTTCCCTTCTTGTTTTTGCCAACAAAAACGATTCCTAAAGGTTTCAAGGTAATCTCTCCATCTTCTAGATTTCTCAAACTATCCTTAGTCATAAGCATAGTTTGCGGAACTGTGATCTCTTTGTCCAAAGACTTAGCCAATTCAATGTCAGTTAAGGCGAAAGCTCCATAGTATCCATCAATGAAAACCTTCAAGCGAACAATACCATTCATAAAATCTTCTTTGCTCGTCACTTGTAGTTTCGATACATCAATATTCTTCATGATCATAGCAACAACTAACAAATCATGTAGATTCATTAGTGGAAAGTCTGCAACTGAGAAGTCGAATGTGACATTGTTTGCTCGGACTGCATGATATCGATAATTCTATAACATACCCTCGAATAGAACGTCTTTGGATATGCCAAGAACCCGAACTATCTTGACTAACGACCATATCTCCTCCTCCTTCTTTCCAAGTATAGCATGGAAACGAAACTTCATGCGTCTCATTCAACTTTATCCTTGTACTTGTCAGCAATTTCGAACTGTTCATCCAAGAACATCATTATGTTCACCAAAAAGTCTAACTGATTCATGTTAGAGTTCACAGTGTCGAAGCTTTTCTTAGGAGCCTTCTCAAATTCATGCATCTCCCCAGACACAACCAAATCTTCGATATACTTGTAATGATAAAGCTTTGTAGGATCACCATTGTCGAGACCAGGTGGGTCATTTGCATGTTCTCGAAGAATACTTTGGATTTGTTTATGTTTCTCCATCTCTGCTTCAAAAGCAGCTTTCTTTTCCTCTTTCGAAAGTTCAACACTTACACCTCTACCCTTTCCTTTATCAGCTTCAGTTGACTTGGATTTCGAAGATCCTGTTTCTCCACAGCAGATCCAATGACTATACCCTTTGTAATTGGCCTTGTTGTTGTTGTTGTTGATGATGTTACAGTAGAAGCTTGTGGTAAGGATGTTGGAATTTGATTAGTTAATACTTTTCCAACAACCTTTGCATCACCACTAACATTTCCAGATCCACCTTCGCCTTTATTACCACTGCCAACATTCCTCCTTTCTCCCCCTTGCACCCCTATGACAACAGGCGGGGCATTCGTTGGCATAAAATTCGGAAACTTCGCAAGTGGAGCCAATTCATTGTGAATTGTAGATTCTAACAAGCGAAATTTTTCATGGATAATTTCAGGAGAAAGTGACGAAGACTTCGAAGAATCAGACTTTGACATGAGATCCTTCAATTCTCCCAGCAGCTTGTCAACATTCCCAAAACCCTTAGCTTCTTCTGCTGCCAGTTTATCAACCTTCGGAACTAGAGTTGTATACCATTCAACAACTTTCGTTACCGCATCAGCAAGAATATCCACCTTCTTATGAAGAGTAGAATAATTGTGATCTAAGGCTGCAACCTCTTTCGCTATATCTTCTCATAACTCTTGAATCTTGAAGTTGACATTCTCACGAATCGTCTTGACTTCTTGAACATACAAAACATGCCTTTCTTTCGCAACATCCGTCAGTGCTCTAAGTGCTCCATTAAAAGACTCAGATTGAGCTTTTACCCTCAATTCGTTGATTTTATCCATAACATCAAGTTTATCCATTATTCGATGCTCTTGAGCTTTCAGCATCACATCCACCTCAATGCCAGGCACCAAATATTTTCCCACTCCATCTTCTTGTCGTTGTAGCAATGAATAAGCTTCCTATTCAGAATCTTAAACTGCTTCCCTAACATCAACATGCGATCACGAATGTTCTCTTCTTCCGAATTAACTGAGGTTTCGAAAGTAGAAGATACAACAAAAGAAGGATTACATTGGGCTTCGTTAGTCGATACTCCTTCACCCATATTGACATTTACATCCAGTATTCGAGACCTCGGGTGGTGTGACATTTGTCTTCTCATTAAATGATTCAGTATTCGAGACCTCGGGTGGTGTGATATTTGTCTTCTCAGGAGTAGAATGATTTGGTAGTTCACCTTGATTGATGGTTGTGTCCACTTTAGAAGTTTCCACATTGCCACCAGGATTTCCAATCTCCTCGAGATTCGACTTAACTGGAGAATTCCTCACAGGTTAAGATTTGCCCATTATAGTATCTGTAACTGGTGTGCACCTTCATGTTCATGTTCATGAGTATGACTAGAAGTACTACTAGCTATGCCTCTGTTATCTTTAGCTGTTAAAAAGGTTGCTGTTCTAACGCCATGTGAGGAGGCTACTTCCCCAAAGCTGAAATCAGGAAAAACTCCACATCCTTGACCTTCCATGCTGGTCCCACTTTCGCTTCGTGGGGCCTGAATCCCACTGCCAATGCCAAGTTGGCTCTGTAACACGTGTTGATGCTGCTGCTGTATCATTGTAAAGGGTGGTTGCTGAGGGAACACTGTGTGTGATTGAGTCACCATATGGGAATTGGGGACCATCTGTTGCAATTGATGTTGCTGCATGGATACCATATTTACCATCTTATTATACATATCAGATACGTTTGCATTGATGCCTGATGTTTGAACCTCCTCATTAAATGATTCAGTATTCGAGACCTCGGGTGGTGTGACATTTGTCTTCTCAGGAGTAGAATGATTTGGTAGTTCACCTTGATTGATGGTTGTGTCCACTTTAGAAGTTTCCACATTGCCACTAGGATTTCCAATCTCCTCGAGATTCGACTTAACTGGAGAATTCCTCACAGGTTAAGATTTGCCCATTATAGTATCTGTAACTGGTGTTTCATGAACAACTTCTTCATCATTGGAGTCATCAGCTATGAGTAACTTTCGTTGTTTCTTTTGCTTCTTGGAAATGTTTTTGGCCATATCCACTGCGCTCCTTTTCTTCGAATGTGGAGATATCGGTGTTGGTAATTCACGAAAAATCACCCCCTTTCTATTCACTTGTGGCTTGTAATGAAGTTTAGGTGAAAAGCTAGTTGATCTTTCAGGTGAATGGCGTGGTTTGTGTGCCATCTTCTTTAATCTTTTCAGGACACCTGATTTTGTAACAACAACCTCCTTCTCATGAACAAAGGTTTCTTCGACTACCGGCTTTAAATCCTTTTTCGTCGAAACTTTCTCTCCTTTAACAGTTTTCTTCAGAGACTTAGACACCTTTTCAACTTGTTCCGGACTAGCTTTCAAAGGACTAGCCTGATCATTTTTCTTCGATCCTCTACGCTTCTTCGAAGAAGCTTCAGCGAATTTTTCTAATAACTTCCCAGTCTCAATTGATGGATTAATAGTCTTCAAATATTCGACTAAAACAGGATTGGCTGGATTGACTTTTTGAAGCATCGCATCAGGGATACAAGCCACAATAGGGAAAACATTGATGTCATCTTCCACATTCTTTGGATAATGATAGCTTGCAAATTCTGCTATTTCTTCTCCTTCAGAAATCATAATCCCTTCTTTCTCATAGAAAAATTGTAAGATTAAGCTCCAGTATCGAGCACAAGAAATCCCATCTACAACATTCGTGTTTCCAATACTCTTGATAAACTCATCCCAGATTTGAGTTGCATAATCTACCTGCAAATCATAGTAGATTCCAGCCACCATGGCATACACCTCCAAACGTGCTTTATCCAACCCCACAGTTCTTCCCGTTAAACAACAAAGATAGATACCAAATAAGAAATTCCAAATACAGGGGAAAATGGAATTCTTAAAATCACTGATCTTTGTATGAATAGGTTGATAACCCATCTCATTATTGAACATATGGATGACTTGAGCATTCGTAACCTTATAGAAAGGTTCAAAATTGGGGATATTCAGAATTTGAGCAAAGATTTTCTTGGATAACCTGAATTTCTTGTCATTCACCAACTGAAACCTTACGATCTTCATCGTCTTACTATAAGTAGTCGTAGAACCAGCAAACGATAACCAAGAAAGTGGTACTACGAACGAATTGAACAGTGCAGTTGACAACACAAAATTTTTGAGAGCAACAAGGAGCATCTTTAAACCCTCTGGATAAGCATTGACATCGCCAAGAACTTGGTAGTTAGTGCTTTGGATCTTCATGATTGGTTGGGATGAAACATCTTCAGTGGTTTGAGATTGCTTTGCAGCCATTGTTAGGGTTTTGAAGATCTTGAAGAAATCAGAGAGAAAAAGGACACAAATCATTGGAGAATTTTAATTGAGCGTAAACTTGGAATTGATCCCCCAAATCCCCTTCTATACATACATCCATTTTTGAATTCCAAACGGTTTGCTCATTAAATGATAAGCGACGTGTTGCCTGGAAAGCGGAGCTAGTTCCGTAAAGATAGCCACGTCTGATAAAGTGATGATCACTTTTCCTTGAAAACCATTTAGTAACCAAAATGTCACATCCATCAGTCTGTTCGATAGTGACAATAAGATAAGAACCGTCAAAAACCTCCGGATTGGAGGTTGGGCTCTTTCACTTTTGGGTTTAAAAGTGAAGTCATGTGCCAGACTTTCGAAATCATCAGCCTGAGTTGGTATTTCTCAGAACCTCAAGGATTTCATGAGTGCAATATGTGCCAAAGAAAAAGATAAGAAGCAAAATAAGGAAATTTTTGTTTTGTGATGTTAAAAATATTTCGACACAAATGCAGTCAGATCCCAGGCAAAGATCGCTTCGTTATTCATCAAGAGAGATGACTAACAACTTGTGTGGTTACCCATGAATTACAATCGAATACTTATAAAGAAGTACCGAGGGGCTTCTTTTAATAAGGCTTGATGGGATGGCTTGAAATTTCGTTACTTATCACATCTAAACATAAGAGTGATACATTGTATTCGGAATTACTTGTTTGACCAGTGTAGTCATGGACAAGTATGACTTGGAAAAATATTGGATGCAACAAAGACTCATATTGATACTCACACTGAAATCATATTCCACAAAACAAAAGTATTTATGGATCTTGATGGGTAAAAATGTCGTGGGTTTCGAACATTTTAGCAAGACCACTCAAAAGAAAGAATATGATTTGGAGTATCGAATAGTGGTACTGAAACAAAAGTTTCGTTAAAATCGGGAACAAAGTTCCCAGTCAATTCCTTTAATGGTTCAAAATTTTGGGTTTCCGTTTCATCACGGTCTCATGATGTTAGATCATAAACACAGAGTTTTGATATGTCTAGATCCTGATTGGTTTATACCAGAAATCTCTCGGACATATGTCATTGTGTGTGATCGTGAAAGAACTTTAGGATGAAAAAGTTTTGGTTTAAGAATCGAAAGTACCTCTGCTATGATTGGACCAAGCAGTTAACTCCTAACTCATGTGAGAAGAGTAAGGTAGCTCAGAGACTAATGTGAATACAGCTTAATTGGGAAGGAATTTTCATGATGAAAAATCCATTGAAACTTTCGAAAATACATAGAGTCATGGAGGCTTGGGTCGACATGCTGCAGCATGCTTCTAGGGACATCCTAACTAGGACAAAGTTTCAAAAATATACCTTTCCCTCAAGCAGCAGGCATGAACCAACAAAAATCTTCGCGAAATGCTACACAGGATAAGATTAATAAAACACAAAAATATTTTTGGATTTTTGATATATGAAAGAAAATAACAAAAATAACAAAAAATCTTTTTGGTATTTTTGATTTATGATAATGAAAGACAAAAATGAAAATCTTTTTGTTGTTTTTGATTTTTGATAAAGAAAGACAATAATGAAAATCTTTTTGTTGTTTTTTATTTTTGACGAAAAATAACGAACAATAAAAAATATATACATGACAAACAAAAATAAGAAAAATGACAAAAGTAACGAAGTTTTTTGTCAAACCATTGTGCATGATGTCGAAGCATTGACTATGAACAATAACCGTTGAATACGGAACAGTAACCGCTGAATCGACATCTTTCCACCACTTTTTCCTGTCATTCTAATGAAGTTTGTCCAGGAATAGAATTTGCATCCATCATTCCTAAGCCATTCAAGATTCTTACGAAAGAGTTTTCATCTAATGGTTTTGTAAATATATCAGCAAGCTGATCAGTTGTCTTTTCAAAATGAACTTCTATATTCCCATCTTCAATGTGATCTTTGATAAAATGATAATGAAGAGCAATGTGTTTGGTTTTCAAATTTTGCACAAGGTTATGACAGATGCGAATGGCACTTTGTGAGTCACAATACAACGAAATTTTCTTCATGTTGATTGCATAATCACGCAATTGACTTTGTATCCATATGATTTGCGAAGTGCAAGCTGCAGCAGCAACAACATATTCTGCTTCTGCTGTGGAAATTGAAACACATGTTTGCTTTTTCGATTGCCAACTTACTAGCTTCCCATCCAACAGTTGACATCCGCCACTTGTGCTTTTACGATCAAGATTTCAACCACCCAAATCAACATCTGAGAATGCTTGAATGAAGAACCCTGTCTTTGAAAGATACCACAATCCTAACGCAGTTGTTCCTTTGAGATAGCAAAAAATTTTCTTGACAGCAGTTAGATGAGGTTCCATGGGATTCGATTGGTACCTAGCACAATTGCACACAGAAAACATAATATAAAGTCGACTTGCCGTGAGGTAAAGTAACGAACCTATCATGCTTCGATGCAATGTAAGATCAATAGTTGGTTTATTTAACAAGGACTTAGTTTTGTTCCAACTGCCATTGGTACTCTCAGCTTTGTGCTATTCGTCATTCCGAACTTTTCAAGCAACTTTCTTGTATACTTCTCTTGGTTGATAAATATTCCTTTTCTTCTTTGACGAATATTTAATCCCAGAAAATTGTTTATCTTCCCTATAATGCTCATCTCAAATTGGCTTTTCATCAGATTTTCGAATTCTCTTGACAAAGCAGGGTCAGTAGAGCCAAAAATAATATCATCGACATAAATTTGAACAAGCATGAGATGATTCCCTAATTTCTTTCGAAAGAGAGTGCAATCAACTGATCCTTGTTTAAATTTCGATTGCTTTAAGAAATTGGTAAGAGTTGCATACCAGGCTCTTGGTGCTAGTTTTAACCCGTAAATAGCTTTATCTAAAATATAACAATGATCAGGGAATTCTTCGTTTATAAAACCTGGGGGTTGTTCAACGTACACTGTCTCTTCGAGTTCATCATTGAGAAATGCACACTTAACATCCATCTGGTAGACATTAAAATCCTTGTGTGCTTCATAGGCTAAGAATATTCTAACAGCCTCGAGTCTTGCGATTGGGGCGAAGGTTTCCTCATAGTCTATACCTTCTTGTTGCGAATAACCTTTAACTACAAGCCTACCTTTGTTTCGAACAACGTTACCATCTTTATCAGTTTTATTTTTAGAGATCCATTTTAAGCTCACAATTGAAACATCTTTTGGTTTGGGAATTAATCTCCATACATTGTTTATTTCGAATTTAGCAATTTCAGATTGCATAGAAACATCCCAATCAGGATGTTCCATAGCAGCCTTGACTGATTTAGGTTTAATTTTCGAAATAAAA